ATTGCTAGCCAAGGGCTATTTTTGTATGGGTCCAAGAGGCCACTTTTGTGTAACCAGGCTTAAGCCTTGGAAGTTGTAGCCGATAAGGGCATTTATTTGTTTTGAGAACCATATGTTTCACATGCTATAGATTCATGTGTTTTTCTTACCAATGAATGTATAACTTGGATGTGGAACTTTTGTACAAACATTGTTGATATATGATGTAAAGGTTGGAGTTATGTCATCACTATTCAATGAATGTGGTTAGATGTATTAGATATGTTGGGATTATTTCGGGGTGTTACACTAAAAGATTTATCAATTTACATAATTTTGTCTTTGGATGGTAGAAATTATTTTCAAAAATTCAAAAATAGTTTTTTGACATTTCTTTTTGTCAAATTAGTTTTTATTTTATCAAATTGACGACTTTGTCCTTAAAATTGAGCAATGATATCTTCAATTGTCTTTATTTGAAAAGATTCAAAATTTAAGGTCAAATGTGTTACAGTTGAAAAGTCAAAGATCAAAGTAACATGAACCACAAACTATAGAGACTGTTAGTGTAATTCGCCCTTATTATAAAAGCCAATGTACCATTAGTTTTATTGATTTTAAAAGTTTAAGGTTGTATTTGAATCATGAACTTAGATAACTATTTGTAAAGAAAAAAGGAAAAGATTGGTAAAATATAATTATATTTTATTTATATTTCACTTCTTTTTTTTTCATTTTTTAAATTTCTACTAAAATTTATGATACAAACACAAGTTAAAAGAATAATCAACTTGAACAAAGCACATACGCATACAATATGCTTAAAATACTTGGCAAGCCTGTATGGATTGGGTGTTTTTGGAGAGGGAGGGGCAGGGGGGGGGGGCAAATTTTTTTTTTCTTAGTCTCAAGGTGTGTAAGAAAAATAAGTGACAAAATTTTTAGGAAAACTACCTATTCTTTGATTTAAGATTTGTTTGATTTGAGTAAAAAATATAATAGAAATAAAATGATAAAAAGTGAAATGAAAGGGGGAAAAAATGTAGAGGAAACCTATTTTTTAGTATTCAATTAAGGGAAAATCAAACACTTGCTAATGTTGAGAATAAATTTTTTTGAAAAAATGTATATAAAAAGAACCTAGACATCTGGTTATCAAAAAAATAAAAATGAAAATAAAAGTATATAAAGGATTTTTTTTTAATTCAATAAAAGCGTTTTGAGTTTAATATTTTGATCTATTTGTTTTTTATTTTTGCTTTTGTGTGCTTGAGGCTCTTATTAGTAAGACAATTTCTAACAAATCGTGATATTTCAATCCTTATTATTGCCATATTTTAGTGGGTGCTTAGGGAAATTTTTGTGTGTGTGTGTGTGTGTGTGTGTGTGTTTTGGTTTATTTTTTAACTTTTTACAAAAAAATTTAAAAAGTTATATTTAGATTCTACTCAATGAGATGAATCGAAAAATTTTAAATTTTTTTTAAAAAAAAACTTATAAAAGATGAAAATAAGCAAAAAATAACAATTTTTTTTTCTTTTGGCTTATTTTTTTATTTTTTTAAAAAAAATAGATTCGCCTACCCAAGATAGATCAAAAAAGTTTTAAAAAAAAAAAAATTGACATAATTTTTTTTTTAAAAAAATGTGACTAATTTGAAAGTTCTCAAACAGCCATAGTATACTACAATGTCAAAATGTCATATTTTAAAGACTTACTTCAACAGTACATATGTTATTTTTTTAGCACCATCACCATATAATTTAATTTCTATCATAGGATAGTGATCGTGTGTGACTAATAATATATTCACAACATTTAAATTTAATTTTTAATTTCAAAACTGTAGGGAACTCAAATCATAGGTCCATTTCTAAATCTTTTGAGCCGTTACCCTAAGTTTAAATCGTTTAGAGCTATAAGGACAATAGTAATGTGAAATACCATATTAACCGTATCTGCTCAATTGTTATCTATCACTGATATATTTACCTATCTATCCACGTGTCACATATCTATTCACTTATCTGTTCATCTAATCTGCCTATATCAAAATCATCACCACCACCATGGGCCACCACCATCTGTTGTCAAATACCACCAGCCACCACTGGCAAAAATGGAAATGAAAAAAATAAAAATAAATGGAAAACGGAAAAAAAAAATTAAACAATAATTTTTCCTTTTCAACAATTATTATTTTTTATTATCATGTCCTTACCAAAAAAACAAATCAATAATTGTATCTAATGCCACCATGAAAATAGATTTTTTTACCAATTTTCTAAAAAAATATACTCTAATACAGTAATTAATGATTATAAAAACTTCAATTCATTAGTTAATCACAAAAGCATAATTGACTGAATTCATTACTCCTCACTATATGATTCTATCTTTTAAAATCTATCAGTGTGATATTATTTTATCAACTCGTTTAAATCATTCAAAGGCTATATATATGGTTTTCTTTTAATATATAGATATTTTTTAAGAAAAATATCAAATCAGTGACATTTTTAAAAAATAATTATAAATAAATAACAAATTTTATAATTATTAATAACTAAAATCATAAATTTTTCCTTGTAATTATTTTTGTAAAGTTACATGGGGGTGTGATTGCCCCCCCACCCTTTTTTTATGTTATAAAAAGCCTCATGCAGTCCATAACAACCTATTAATATCGTTTTTGCCTTTTGTGTTTACGAAAATAAAAATAATATGTTTTTGCCTATTGTGTTTACGAAAATAAAAATAATATAAGTTTAAAAAACACTTTTTTTTTGTGTGTGTAAAATAGTTTTCAAAATTGATTTTTTTTTTTGGTGTTTTATAAAAATTGAGTTGTTTTCATAATATTTTTCCAAAAACAACTCACCAAACAAGCTTTCTGTGTTTTTTTGGAAATGACAGAAAACAAAAAATGAAAATGTTACCAAATAGGCCCATGCAAGTACTTGAAAGTTAGGTTTGAGAGAAAAGTAAACATAAAATCGGTATATAGATAAAGAAAACAAAGAAGAGGAGGAAGAGCAAGCACGCAAGCAAACATGCAAGAAGAAAACCTACATGGTTTCTGCTGCGCAAGTAGTGTTTGTTATTTTGACCACATCATGGTTAGTAGAGCCTCATGCAGTCCATAACAACCTATTAATATTGTTTTTGCCTATTGTGTTTACGAAAATAAAAATAAATAAGTTTAAAAAACACTTTTTTTTTTGTGTGTGTAAAATAGTTTTCAAAATTGATTTTTTTTTTTGGTGTTTTATAAAAATTGAGTTGTTTTCATAATATTTTTCCAAAAACAACTCACCAAACAAGCTTTTTGTGTTTTTTTGGAAATGACAGAAAACAAAAAATGAAAATGTTACCAAATAGGCCCATGCAAGTACTTGAAAGTTAGGTTTGAGAGAAAAGTAAACATAAAATCGGTATATAGATAAAGAAAACAAAGAAGAGGAGGAAGAGCAAGCACGCAAGCAAACATGCAAGAAGAAAACCTACATGGTTTCTGCTGCGCAAGTAGTGTTTGTTATTTTGACCACATCATGTGAGTTGTTCTTGAACACATGGCAATCTCAAAACACTAATCCTGGAAGCAGTTTCATTTTGGTATGAGATCCGGCCAATTCTACAGACATACTAAGATCATGTTTGTTTGGGCAGACATATACTTGAGATTGGATTAATAATCCAATAAAACTAGTAATCCGATGTTTGGTTAAAACATTAAAGTACGGGCTATCAATCCATTCGGATATGGTATCTTACATATGATGGACTATTCAATCCCATATATGGGGTGGGATATAAATTAGGAGACTAAGTCAAAGTCTGGACTAACTTATCAAATGACCATAATATGGTCAATATATCGGATGTCTCATGTCCTATCCATTCCAATTCCCTTAAACACACATCGGATTGGATAATATTTTGTTAATCCCTCCTTATAATCCTAACTCAATCCAGACACAGGATAGGATATACAATCCAAAGGATTCGTAGTCCTAAGACTATTAGTCATGGGAATGCTAATCCAACCTAATCCAGTCCCACCCAAACAAACATGGCCTAATTGTATCCTTCTCAGCTACTATATTTGGATTGTATGTACAACCAGCTAAGCTAATCAAGTCACCAATGGTAAAAACATGGATGGGAGTAAAGGTAATACCAAGGTACTCACTCTTCTGAAAGAATGGAACATAATACTTTTGTTCCAATTTCTCAAACATTAGTGTTCCAATATCTAAATTTTGGTTTGCTTTGCCTTACAGTCAGAAACTCATTGATATGACAGCAAAAAAAGGCCATCATTTCCAATTTCATTTCAAAATGACCAGCTCTTGTGTTGCTCCTAGTTTTTCAATTGGCCATATTCCATATCACATCAGCAAGCAAAACTCACAAAGATACAGTACAAGTGATTAGTATTTAAGATTAATTGATCAGGCATCAATGAATAAGACTAAATGCTTTTAAATAAAACAACCTCAGCAAACAATTGCACCTGATCAAAACTCAAATGGATGCGAACAACATGACATATGAAGCTTTGGAAAGAAGCCAACTTACAGTTGGTAAAGCTTATTGTGATCGTACCAACAAAAGAAGCTCTACCCATTAGTAGATGTTTGATTAGTTTTATGCATCTACCTTCAAGTTGACATCTTTGAGAAGTTAATTTAATTGCTCTTTCTTTAAGTTGACATCTATGGAACAATATCAAATATTGGACAACTGAAAGTTGAAAACTAGAAGAGTTCAAGATACAAGTCCTCCTGCCAAATTCGAATGCAAGAATCAGAGCAAAATATTCCCTACCATCTTTTTGTTCTTCCTCAATTCACAAGTACAATCAGCCCCTAGAATCTTTCTTCCTTCACATATAGAATGCAAGTGCCTGCGATAGCTCATATCAGACATTGTTCCAAACAGATCACTACTTCTCTAGTTGTCAAATGCATGCAATTCAAACTTTCCACAATACCCTCTATTGTTAGTTTGTAAAGTCCTCAAACAGTAAGAGTCTGTAAGTTGGGGCAAACAACCCCTATTTTTGTCAGGAATTCGTCATTCACACGCCCATAACTTAACTCCAAAGATCTAATATGATAATTCCTTTCTAATTCCATATCAAAATCATCCTCTACTTCTAGATCAGTATGTTGCAGTTTAATTTCTGAAAGGACGGGACATTCTTTTGCAAGGATGAAGAAGGTTGTAGCAGTTAACTTTGGACACGCATAAATTGTTATGGAGATAAGATTAGGAAGATATTGGCATAAATCCCTCATGGAATTGTCGTTGAGGAATTGTATAGCACACAGTTCTAAGTGTGTCAAAGACGGACATGCACCTAAGAAAGTCACGAGTCCATGTAAGCTCAAACCAGAATCATCGTGCAATATGAACTTCTCTAATGGAATGCCTGCTGTTGCAATTGAACAAATTAGTCTGTCATTATCTCCGGATGCTACTAAGTCGAGATCGCGTAAAGATGTTGCATAAATCATGGAATTCTCAAAAGTGAACGAATCATCTGGTGAACTGCAATAGAGTCTTGTTTTGAGACAAACCAAATTTCGACTATGGCGTAGTACAAAACAAATTCCATGTTCGGTTACTTTGCAGAAAGAACATCGAATTTCATTCAAAAGTTGACAATTTGATGACAAAGCAATGAGAGATCGATCAGAACAACCAACCAGCCTATTCATATTAATTTTACGCAACCCTCGAAGCTTGCGCGATAATACCTCAATCCCAGCATCAGTTACCATGTACTTTGCACTTTTAAATTCTGCAGCCCACAGATTATAATTGTATTCGGATTGGATATAGCATTCAGATTGGATATCGAGCTCTTCAAGCAATGGTAAAGCAACAGCTATAGCAAAAAGGTGTTGATTTCGAAAACCAATGAGGTTACAACATCTTAAAATCTTCAAGTTCTTCATGGTCGAACCCAGTTTCCTAATAGTTTTGGGGAATGGGAATTTTTTGTAAAAAAATGAGAGAGAGGGATTGAAGATCCAACCCAGAAGGAGCAATTCTTCGAATGGGGTAATTGACGTCGGCTTTGTCCCCGAAGATGGGATTATAAAGCACAATGTGTTGGAGGTTTGTGAATCATTGAAGGGCTCTGAATAAAGCCTTGCAGTTATTGCTGTAGAACAATCTGTCGGAGGCCACCAATTTGAGTCGAAATCGATCGGTGATGGAGAGGAATTGCTTA